AAACTTTATTTTAAAATTTAAATTTTTATTTTTAAATTTATTAATTATAACTTATACATGATTTTTCTATTATTTATATTTACTAGAATAGAATAAGTCAATATAAAAAGAATATTCAAAGAAAAACTATTATTTATATATATTCAAAACATTAGGTTAAAATACTCTTATTTATTTTTAAAAGTGTAGAAAATAAATATAAGGAAGTTCTTTAATTCTACTCTATTTTAATTTCTATTTAATTCTTATATCATTTTAATCAAATACTTTTAATTCTTTAAAAGTTAAGAGAAGAACGAATTAATAAGTTAATATTTGAGAAAATTTAATTTTAAGTATAATTAGGTATAGAGTTTAAATAATATTTAATATAATTCTTAATTACTTTCCAAAAACTTATTAAAAATTTAAACAATAATTAAAAATTATATATACATTATTATATAAAAGTGCAATAGAAATATATTTTATAAAATACAAAGCTATTTATATTTGGATAAGATTTTAAGAAAATATAATAATTATTTTACTTTATAAATTATTTTTCATTTTAACTTTATAACTATTATTCATATTATTTATATAATATCTTATATTAAAAATAATAATTAATAATATTTAAAGTAATAATATTTTTACTTTAAATATATAAAAGTATTCTATAGTATAGGTATATAAAATATATATATATATATAAAATTATAAATATTTAAAACATATTCCTTACTCTTATAGAATTTTTATAGATGTTCAAAAGAAAATTCTATATAATATATTAACTTCTTAACTTCTCATTCTCTATAATAAATAAAGTTTATATATATATTCAAGTTATTTTTTAAAAATATATAAAATTTCTTTATAAGGGGTTAATAATTATAAGGTTTATAATTCGCACTTCGAATTTAATTTTAGAAAATCAACGTAAATTATATTATAAACGTTAAAACCTATATTATATATAGGTAATTCTTAATAGAAACTTAACGTTTACTACATCTCAGATTTGCGAATAGCAATCTCAGCCCGAACCTAAGCTAAAACCCTCTCCAGATGGCGAACCTTACAACTACGAATAGTAGCAGTTAAAAAAGGAATAATTTTCTCCTCCTTCTTTGCCTCCTCTTCTCGTAGCCTAATAAATAATTAATAAACTAATATTATTATACAAAAGGAAATAATATTATATACTCTTACGTAGGGTATAATTAGTACCTTTACCCTTATAGAAAGAGTTTATACAAGTATATTCAGTAATTTTTGTACTAATAATAATATATTTAGTAAAAGGGCTATAATTACTATTCTTCTTACACTTATTGTAGGCGGCTTTTTTATTCGTATACAATAAAAATAAATAGCAAGCTAAACCTACAAAGTATTCACGGCAATCCCACTTTAATACTGAAATAATTTGGCTACTCTTAATTTAGAATATTTTAAAGGAAATAGCACGTTTAATAGTCTATAATTATTAGTTAGGATTAACTACCTCCGATTTTTATTAATTAACTTTAATAGGGGTATTATACTTTGTATTAAAATAAAATTTTATATACCTTATTAATATTATAATTAAGAAGTTTCTTAATAATAAAACGAAGAGTAATAACATCCTTGTACTCTATATTATTATCTTTTATCTTATATATATCTAATATATCGTCGGCAAACAATTTGCCTAAAAAAGTAAAAGGGCGTAATTCTGCTATAAGGGCGTTGTGAAAGCGTGATCCTACGAGTGATAAGACAATAAGATTAGAAGCTACAAATCAAAGTAATATTAAGTGTAAGGAGGGAAAGAGAAGGTAGACGAACGAAGGCATTTCGGATCCGGACATATAAGTCAGATCTGCCATTCGTCGCCGCCTTCCCAATCCGGATTGTCTATCGATAAGAAGATAAGATAAGAAGCTTGTCCGTCAGAGTACCCTTATTCCCAATACCCATCCAGCCAAGCCGTGACAGGCGCTATCGTCAGCAAAATCTTCGTCGGCCATTATTACTATACGTTATATTAGTATAAAATCAATATATATTATATTTGGATATTCTATACACTTACTAATTAATTGGCGTTGGTTATAGATATTAATTTTTGATAGTATAATTGGTATGGGGAAAGTGTTAGAGTATGTCTTACTGCACGAGAATACGGGGTTACGTGGAAGGTGAGATAGGGTTGATTGCTAAATTAAATCTATATTAATGCGTTTGGGCGCGTACCTACTACCTGCAGCTGGCACGGACTTTTTTTTTCTAAACTTTTGGATAAACGGCCTAACGCGCACTTGGGCCACCGTATCCATCTAACCAATTAGAAGGCCAGGATCCTTACCGCGATGTACTAGAACTCTAACATTTTTAAAGGACCCTGACCCCATATTTAAAACTGTAAGAAGCAATAACTTCAGGCACTTCAATACCTATAACCCCCTATAAATACAGCACTTCAATTTCTTACAGCCCAAAGCCAACGAACACACTACCGTTATAGCGGAAATTGGCGTACATTAACGGTTGCATTACTGTACAGGAGTACAGCTGCGGGCTATGTACGGTAATGCAAAATTATCTCTAAAGTTATAAAGCGGCTCCGAACACAACCTAAACTTCTACTACATACCTACTTGGAGGTTTCCGCGGTGATAGCGTGTTAAAGTCATGTCGGTATGCAGTGTAGTAGTACAGCCGCGTCATTGATAAACCTAGGTAGGTAGGTACCTACCTAGGTAGTCGTAGTGGTACTTTCGTCCAAGTTGTTATGTCGCCATTTCGGGTCCCAAATTAATACATGTTGAAGCTGTCATCATCCACATCAAAAGTTAGGTACTGCGTTTTTCTTTATGTTAACCCTCGCAGGCAGTACATAATCCATCCTCTCACTGGGTTTTACTGGGTTCTGACAGTTCTGATCAATACCTGAGTGTTGTGGGGAGAGAGAGCACTTCACTTTGAAACTTGCCGAGTACCTCTAGACAAGATGACTTGAGATTGGTTTTGCAAAAGACATCACGCTTTTATTGCTGATTTTCCTCTACTGGAATAACCTCAATCCGAAATGAAGCTGCTCATTGATTGACCCTGTTAATGAGACCTCTCTTTGCTATGGAAGTTTTGAGTGCCTTGGGTTGGTGTGCTTGTTGCACCCGCCTGGCTCACTTCCATGTTCATGTCGTGCCAAAGACAAGACGGATGTGCTTAGAACTCTAGCTGCCTGGTAATACTCGAAGTCACATGGTCGTTGCAGAAAACATGTTGATTGGATGTAGAATTGCCTAGAGGCAGACAAGTTGAGCTATGGATGTATTGTGAAGTTACGCTAAAGTTGTTACGGTAGAGGTATTGTTGCTGATTCTCCTCTAATCACTACTGCCAAAGCCTTGATCTCAAACGAAGCCGCGTGCTGATGAGCCTTTGAAAGTCGGAGATGCCTCGCCTGCATGTATTTGGCATACACTTCCGACCGCTGTTGAATCCATATGTGTTCATCTCACTCGGTAGAAGTAATGGGCCAATCGTCGGTCCAATCCCACTCAAGATCGTCAGGATCCGTCATCGCCTTTGGAGGTGTGTACTGGCCCGTCATCAAAGCCGGCCACAGCCGATCAATGAGATGGCAGCGGTCCTCGAGTTCCTGGGGGATAGGTAGTCCGATAGGGGCAGCATCGGCCCAGAATCGTGCGTGTGATCTCCGTTTTCTCTGGTAGGGGTCGTAGTAGACGGTAGGGAACATGTCCGTTTCTTCTTCCGCGTTGCCGCTTTCCTCGTCTCCTTCACAACATCGGACCTATTTGTGGTCATAGTTGAGGAAGTAATAGTGGTGTCAGCAGCCTTGTCTTCGGTTTCCACAACGGTAGGAGTTGAGGCCGTTGAGGAGGTTGTTGTTGTTGTGGTTGTTGTTGTGATTGTTATGCCGCCGCCACCGCCATACCGATAGATGTAATACTCGGATGCCATCTTCTTTCTCCGCTCAAGCTGATAAAATTGGCCGGGCGCTGGACCGTTACCGCTACGAATGCAGCTGTGTGGGTCCCAGGACCTGGCAAAGAGAGCCAGCATAGTGTCAGTGTTGTAGTGGGTTCTTGAACTTGTACCTGAGCATGAGCCCGTACCATGGGCAGCACTCACGGTGCTGGAGCAGCCCGATGATAACAGGGCTTTGACGTCCAGCTTCCGAGCGGCTTCGTACGTAGATGCAAAAGCGTAAGCGACTATAAGCCAGCGACCCGTCAGCTGCCCCTTGATGCTCTGCTGCGAGAACACACTCCGCTGGCAGTATCGGAGGTTGGGGAACTGTTCTAGGTTCGTGCTGCGGGTTACGGGGAAGCATAAGCCTAATCCGGCTTTGGTGGTGGCGGTTTCGTAAGTGGTCCAGTTTGCTAGGGCGGCGGTGTCTGTGAGGTTCGTGTTATCGTCCATGTTGCCGATATTGGCAGAAGAGGATGAGGAGAGAAAGTGCTCGAGCTCTTGAAGCTGTTGGTCTAGGTCGAAAAAGTAGTGGCGGAGTTGGATGTGCCACTCCACGTTCCTCTCAATATCCACGTAAAACATTGTGGGCTCTCGGCAGACGTGGACGGGGTAATGGAAGGATTCCATGGAGTACTTGAATCGATTCATGAGTGTTGGGGGCGACTGCTGGAGCTTGCCTTCGTCGGTGGGGATATCAACGTCTTCATTCTGGAAGTGTAGCCCTGCGCCGCAAGGACCAAAACACAATTCTTGGTTCAGCGGGGGGTAGTACTGATTAGACGGGACCGAGTTATAGCCTTGAACGACAACCAGGGGACACTTGGGCTGCTGACTGGTCTTGTGGGCGTTTATTCCACCGTGGGACGTGAGGCGTTGGACGTTACGGTCCGGGCCCTTGAAGAGAATGGCGCGGTTGTCATCGTTAGCTTGCCGGGAGGGAGTCTTGGGCTGGAGTACAGAACGACCGGTCCCGAAGAAAGATGATAACATGACGGGCGGTGGTCAGATTCTTGGTAGATGGATGTTGATGGTTGACCAAGATACTCGATGCTGAGAGGATAGATGAAAGGAAGGAAATGGAGCGGGGAAAGAAGAGCAGATGAGGATGTTTATTGGTAATGACAGAAGGGAAACCTTCTGCAGCTCCCTCCTGTACACAGCTGCCCGTACATTTCTGGATGCATGCTGATGAACACCTGTCTTTCGTCTGCAGATTTTATGGGAGTAACAACTCGGGTGAATCAAGGCGGTAGTTGACTTAGTTCAAAGGGCAGAAAGCCCTCATGTTCATTCGAGGCATGCTCGCTTCCAACTTTCTGTTGACCGGGCAGGTCATGGACTGGCAGTTTGCGTGTTATCGGAAGACAGAGAACGTCGGACATGAACGGAAAGAGGATATGGACATGGTAGCCATTAAAAAAAATAGGAGAAAGCTGCAGATGTGTGACGCAATTTCCCTGCATTTGTGTTCTGCACCGAGATTGAATAGTCGTCAACTCCGAGTGTCCTTCGGTTGTCGTTGCGGGCGTCCAGCGCGCGAATGCGTCAGCCACACCATCAGCCCCGTAAACAGCTACATCCACTATCGTCCTCGAGTAACCAATCAAGTGAAGCCCGGTAAAGCCGTCGGTCACGTGCACAGGCGTTCATTTCGCACCACACCACACAAAAGGTGCTTTTCAGGATTTAATAACCTGAAGTGGAAGAGCCATATCACTAGAGCAATCTCTATCGAGCTAGAATAAGGAGGTTAAGGGCGTATTTGGTTCAGTCAGCAAAACGAAAGTTTGTATGGGCAAATAATTCCTACCAGCTAGCAGACTGTTTTTTTACTATTTTATGTAGGTAGTTGGGGGTTATTCTAGTCTTGGCTGTAGGAAAAAGTATTGCACTAAGGTAGTTGGATGTAATATAGTTTGGAAGGTTTAAAAGAGGAATTAGTGAGCCTATGTAAGAGTATTTTGCTATTTTCTATCTTAACAGGTCACCTTATAAAGATAGAGAACATTTTGCTACTTCCGCTACCTTACAGTGATAGTGTAACTAATACTGCGAATTACAACCCTAATCATAACTCCAGTTACAACAACGTGTCTTTTAGCCCCTATCCTGTGGTATATTTTTAGCTGCTTTTTGGCTTTGTACCTTTGTCTACCCTTGTAAGAAGTTAGTAGAAATTCTACTGACTGAACCAAACGGGCCCTAAAACTTACTTTTCTATTACTATACGGATAGACAATGCTGACCGTACAGTTAGACTTTCTCTAAAATTTATTCACTTTAATGCTAGGGGGCTGCGTCCCCCGGGACCCTCTCTTAGGATTATTTACACAAAAAGTACATAAAAGCGCGAAAAACAGCTGTACGGGAATGCACTAACAGGAAAACTGCGAAATTCAGATAGTACTAACAATTCTTTTATGGGCGAAAAGCCTGGTTTCGGTCCGTGCGCTATGATTTGGGTAGTGCGTGCAGAATTTTACGTGGGGAGCGCCCGCGAAAGGCACTAACACCTTACCCGAACAGTTGAGAATCCTTGCTCGTGTAGGTATATAGAGAAGTATCAATGAGATGAATGACGTGAAGCGATTTACGGTTTGAGAGTGGCAGACATAACCCTAACCCGTGTTCTTGGCACATGGTTTGAGTTTGTGCCCGCAACGCACAGAGCCTCGACTGGAGGAGTCAAGCTGAAGAAATCGGACGGATGACGTTTTGTCAGCGGCCACCGAGAGCGCCGGTGCGACCCTCCCTCCCGTTAAAAGAAACATGGAGTGAGAAGTGGTGGGTGGGTGCGTGGTTCTGGCGGCAAATCTCGGGTTTTTTTTTTTTTTTTTTTTTTTTTTTTTCCCTTCCCTTCTTTGGGGTGAACCGACCAAACGAGAAGACGGGCGGGAGTCATGAAAAGAGAAAGAAAGAAAAACAAGCATCATCATCTGCCCAGCAAGGTGGTTTAGCAACAGCGATGAACCATTACAATTGCTGCCCATCGAATCCACTGTTATCCACTGTTTTCCATTTTAACATGCACTGACCCGCGATGTACGTTGATGTGCCCGCCCTATTCCCCTGCCCGCCATCGCCTTCTGCCGCGCACTATGTACATTGATTACCTCTGATTGAGGGGATTGACCAATTAAAGAGCTCTCCCAAGGCCTAGAACAGCGAAGCTCGGTATTGGTGCATTTGTGTCACATTGCAGATTTTGTGCATGAACCGGCTCGCCCTCCACTGCCGGTCAAGAGGCTTTTCCAGGGCATTTATCAGGGTCCAGATACCAGGACGGGAGTCAGGATTTGATATCAACTTCCATCCCATCCCTCTTGCCCTTCATTTTACTGACGATAACCACTTCTTTCCGTTTTTTCTTTGCGGTAAAAAAAAAGGAAAAGAAGCGCCAAGATGACGCGAAGCCAGAGGAGCTCGACCTTGGACTCTGCAAGGCCCTTGCTCAGCCACCATGATACCGAGGACGATTTGTTATGGCAGCAGCGGTCGCGATATCACGGCACAGATGCTGCGGTAGCCCGTGCACCGCACGTCAACGACGGCAACAATGTTGGTGATGACAATGATGTTGATGATGGGTTGGAGGATTATATCAGCCACTTTGACGACGACCCGGATAACCCGCAGAACTGGCCGGCATCATTCAAATGGAGTGTGGTGGCTTTATTGGCCATGACGGCTTTTAGTGTGTACGTGCACCCACATGATCCTCACAATTTCACATACTCAAATCTCAACATCATCTCATCCCCAATTGTACAACGCTAACATTTTATGCTTCCAGCACATTCAACTGCATCTCCCTCGTCCCCCTCGCCCCCTCCATCGTCCGCTCCCTCACCCCACCACCTCCTCCCCCCTCCAACGGGACGGACTCTTCCCTCCCACCACCAGCCAACCTCAAATCCGCCTCCGCCCTCCTCGTCACCATCTGGGAACTAGGCGAGGCCGCCGGCCCTTTACTCATCGCCCCGCTCTCCGAGCTTTTCGGGCGCTACCCAACCCTCAACATCACCAACCTCCTCCTTATCCTCTTCACCATCCTCACCGCCACCGCCACTTCCGTCCCGACGCTCATCTTGTCGCGATGCCTGACGGGCATGGCAGTCGCTTCGAACGTGCTCAACCCCGCCATCGTGGGGGACATGTTTCCCTCCGATCAGCGGGGGAGCGCCATGTCGCTAATCTTCATTGCGCCTCTTATCGGTGGGGCGGTCGGGCCGGCGATCTCGAGTGCCGTCGCGGAAAGCGTCGGGTGGAGGAAGGTGGTGTGGGGGGTAGTGGGTTTGAGCACCATTTGCGAGATTCTGTTTTTGTGTTTGTTTAAGGAGACGTATAAAGTGGCGATTGTGAGGAGGAGGGTGATGAGGGAGAAGCACAGCACCAGGTTGGCGAATGCGCATTTGGATATGAGCACGGGCAACTTGAGAGGCAAAAAAAGCAAGCGTGAAGAGTGGAGGAAACTGAGGGATTCGGTGTTAAGGCCGTTCTTGGTGGTGTTTGGGTCGGGACTGTTGATGGCCTTGTCGCTGTTGGGGTCCGTCACGTTTTCGTATTTTTACGTGGTTAGTGTGACGTTGCCGGAGATTCTGGAGGACAAGTATGGGCTGTCCGGGGCGGTCAAGGGGTTGTGTTTTATGGGATTTAGTACGTTTTCCCTTTCTTTTCCTTTTTCCCTTCTTCCATGAAATAGGATACTAACGCACTTCAACAGCCGTCGGCTCCTTCTTAGCCGTCCTAATCTGCAACGCCTTCCTCGACCGTATTTACATCGCCCTCCGTGACCGCGATGCCGCCCTCACCCAGCCCTGCTCCCCGGACGATTGCCTACCCAAGGAAAAACCAGAATACCGCCTGCCCCTCACCATCCTCGGCGCCTTCAGCATGCCCTTCGCCATCACCTTTTACGGCTGGGTCGCCGAGCTTTCGCTGCCTCTCCCTTTCTTGCTCATTGCTTGTGGGCTGATTGGCGCCAACACCATGATGACCCTGATTCCACTGATGGCCTACGTGGTGGATGCGTTTGGCTTGTTCTCGGCAAGTGCCATGACGGGTGTGATTGTGAGTAGGTGTCTGATGGGCACGTTCTTGCCCTTGGCAGCGGCGCCGCTGGTGGATTCGTTTGGGTATGGATGGGGGTTCATGGTTTTTGGAGTCATGAGTGGCGCGTTGGCGCCGATTAGTGTGGTGGTGTTTAGGTATGGAGAGAGGTGGAGGCAGTTTTGCAAGTATAGCAGGGTGGAGTAGTTGGGCTTGTTAGGTATTGTGTGTGTGTGTGGAAGAGAGGGATCTGTTGATGACATGTGATTGGGATACGATATGGATTGGATATGGGATATGATGGGATATGGACCAACAAAAAGCATAGGATGGGAAAAGTTGTGGATTGGGTTTACACGATTAACGACTGGACGACAAAAGTTGGGTTGGATAAAAGACAAAAGTTTTGGCTTGATTGTTGAAAGGGATGCGCATTCATTTCCCTGTAATGGAGTTTGGGGGAAGAAAAAAAAAGAGAATAATTAAACGTGTTTTTCACTATGAAGTCGTTTTTACAACTTCTTCTGCAAATGAACTCGGTCACTGTTGAAAGACAATGCTGATGTCGTCGTCTTGTTGGTCTTGGCGGGCATTTTTATATGAGAACCGCATACAGCCAAGATCTGCAAACCCATACAAGTTTGCTAACAAACTGAAATAACCGACCATCGAACAGTATTTGTAAGTGCGCCCTTGTTGATTGCCTTTGACAAATACACAACCCACGGATTGTAACCCGGCACCACCGGCCCATGGGGCTTAGATCGGATATGTAACACGGCCCCTGGCGGCCCATCAGGGAACATCCGTGGAGTCCGGGGTCCGTAGCTCTGGAGAGTCGGAGAAGACTGGTGTGTCCAAGTTTCAGATGGTCCGTCTCAAACCCAACGACTTCCGTTCCGGTCCCTCTTCCTCCGGCCTTTCTAATGTGCCCATCTCTCGTGTTTTGATGTGTCGTTCGTAGGCCAAGGACGTTGAAATTGCTCGGCTGGGTCTAGGTACCTTGAGGCTTCGTAAGAATACCCAACCACCCTGGGACAGAGTTTTGCTAGCTTCAGGAGGCGCTGATCAATTGGCGCGCTACGTGTACTACCTAATGGCCGTCGCTGAGGCATCGCTCTGTGAATACGGTGATGAGTGGGCTCGTTCCCTTGGTAGTATGCGCAACCGTTCTGGGAAACAGGGCTATAAGTCTGCAATTCCTACTATTGAATGGAAATGGAATTGGAAGGTCATGTGTGTTAGGTTCCTTGGAAGGTGACCTGGCGATCAGTGATCCGGAGCTCTGGGCAGCTCAACCATTCAGCGGTGGACGTCGCCATAGGTCGGGTAGAAGAAACACTGTACAGTCCAATGCTGGTTTGATTGTTAGCTTGGTACACCAGGCACTCCTGCTGTACAATAAATATAGTGCACTAGACAAAATCTATTTCGAATAGTCCTAAAGGTTATATGGATGAATTAAAAGGTATTAGTTGGATTTAATTTGGCATTTTAAATGTTAGAGATGGCGTGCCCAAGGTAAGATCATACATTAGTTAGCCATGAAAACGCATAGGAAAGTTGACACGAGGTCTCAAACTAACAAACAAACCAGTACTGGACTGTACACTACAGGGATACCCCACTACAGAATACAACTGAACTGAAAGTGCCAAGCACGCCGCCCTGGAAATGGTTCCTGCCCCATGACGCACTTTTTGCACCGCTCCCTCCCGCCGTACGGTAGCTCGGTAGTACCTCTACGGCACTACTTTGGAGTGGACAAGACCAACAAAAATGAAAAAGGATCAACATGGCGACGCTTTCTTGATTCCATCTCAACAAGGCCAATTGGGACCATGCCATTGCCCCAGAAAAGAATTGGACCTCTAAGACTCATGCCCGCCCTGTTATCCCCGAGTCACGACTCCACGCCCAAGTCACTGTCCCTGCAAAAAAGTTGCGACTAAAGAAGAATCCACAGAAGCCGCCGTTTGATCTTCCCTTCTTTTTTTTTCTCTTTTCCTTCTTTTTTTCTCTTTTCCTTCTTCTCTTTTTTTCTTATCTCCCCAACACAACCAAGTCATCCTCACACAACAAGTCGACAGTCGTCCGCTCGCTCGCTCGCCATGGCAGAACAACAGGATGCCAGCGACCCGAGGCGGCGACAGACTCGCGACTATCCCGATTCGCCCATCTCGGTAGAAGAAGGCTTTGCGACAGCCACCACCCTCGCTTCGCGACAACAGCAACAACAACAACAGCAACACGAATATGAACATGAACCACCACCAACCCCACGATTACCCGACGACGATGGCGACGATGGCCTCACCACCGACACCGACAGCGACACCGACGATGACATGCGCGTCCGCACCAATGTCACCAATGTCGCCCCAAATCCAGTCCCGCAGAAGCCAAACAAGAAGGCCGGCTGGCTGGCCGCCATGGCTGCTAAGCTGGGTCTCGACATGCCCACAGTCATCACCATGTTCAAGTACGTTGTGCCTGAGTTCAGTAGCAGGTAGGTAGGTAGGTATTCAACATACTAACAACACACAGAGGCTCCCTCCCGCCTACCATCGGCATCGCCATGTGCCAGTCCCACACCATCGCCATCTACTTCGGCACCGTCGGCTACCTCGTTCCCATCGTCTCCGTCCTGGCCATTGCCATCCTCCCCCGCGGCAAATTCCTCATGAACTTGGTCCTCAACCTTCTCGCCATCTGCTTCGGCTCTGCCGTCTCCATGCTCGCCCTCTATAGCGCCGTCAAGGCCCGCGAACACACCACACCCAAAGACGCCCCGGTTTCCGCGCTGCCGACTTACAACTCGAGCCAGAGCGCTGTCTGTGCCGTCTGGCTGTTCTTCAACATCTGGCTGGGAAACGTGGTCAGGGCCAAGATGCCGGCCTTCAACATTTCCATCATTATCTACAGTATCCTGGTCAACATCGCAGCTACTTTCGGCCCCATCATGACCACCATGGCCGCCGCCCAGCACTTTGTTCAGCAACTGTTGACAGGCATGTTGCTGGCTATGGCGATTGCCTCGGCTGTCAACCTCTTTATCTTCCCCGTCAGCAGCCGTCTGGTGGTCTTCAAGGAGTTTGCGGGCGCCATTGGCCTGCTGCGAAAGACGGCTTCCCTGCAAAAGGCCTATCTGGCCAGTCTCGAGTCGGAGGATATGTTCGCGCCTGCTACGAGAACTGATACCTGGGCGAGGAAGGAGGCCAAAAAGGCTGAGAAGGGGAATCGAAAGCCAAGAATCACCAAGGAGGCCAAGGCCGCGAAAGCGTTGGGCGAGACTGCCGCTGCCCTACGAGAACTCTCTGGAAAGTTGCATGCCGACATGGGTTTTGCCAAGAGAGACATTGCCTGGGGAAGGCTGGACGCCTCCGATCTCAGCCACATATTTACCCTGTTGAGGAACGTTTACATTCCTGTTTTGGGCATGACCACCATCATCGACATTTTCAAGCGCGTCTCCGAAACCCAGGGGTGGTACACAGAAGAAGACACGCCACCCGAGGTGGTAGCCGAGAAGGAGATCGAAAAGCGGGTATGGAACGAAGTCATGAAGCAGATGCACGAGCCCTTCGAGATCCTCTCCGAAGCCATCGACAAAGGTCTCCAACACGCCGCCCTCCAGCTGGACCTTACCCCGCGCCCCAAGAAATCCAAAACTGCCGACATTGAGGAAAAGGCCGGCCAGCCTCTGCAGCCTGGCGATTTGGGGTATGCTCAGGTGATCCATGAGAAGGTGGCAGCCTTTTACGCCAAAAAGGGTGAGCTTCTCAAGATTTGGGTCAAGGAAAAGGGTCTGATCTACGACGAAGAAGGCTTTACCGCCCACGACACCATCCCTCTCGAACGCCAAAAGCGCGACCAAGCACAGCTCAACATCTTGCTCTACATGGAAAACCTCATGCACGCCTCGGGCAACGCCGTCTACGAGTTTGCTGCCTACGCCGATTCCAAGGTCGAAGACGGCACCATGTCGCGCAAGCGGTTAATCATGCCCGGATTCAGGCGCTTGGAGAAGTGGTTCCTTGCTGTTCTGCGGAATGAGGACTCGACAGCCGAGGGATCGCCTGACCTCTCGGAAAGCAGCAACACCATTGTCAGCTTTGGCGATGGTTTCAACAACAACAAGAAGGACCCCGAACACCTTCCGCCCGCTACTGCGTGGGAACGCTTCGGCAACCGCCTCCGCAAGATCTCAAAGTTCTTTGGCTCAGAAGAATCCGCTTTTGGCTTCCGTGTCGCTTGCGCCACCATGTCCATTGGCATCGTCGCCTACCTCAAGGAAACCCAAGCCTTCTTCCGCGAGCAGCGCCTCGTCTGGGCCATGATCATGGTAGCCATCGGCATGACAATGACATCTGGCCAGTCGTTGTTTGGCTTCATCTGCCGTACAAGTGGCACGGTGGCGGGCATGGTCCTGTCACTGATCGTGTGGTATATTGTTGATGGACATCCGCCAGGTGTCATTGTCTTTTTGATGCTGAGCATCTTTTTGTGTTACTACTTCTTTCTCAAGTATCCCCGGTTTGTGCCCGCGGTCATGATCACTGTTGTCACGCAGGTCATGATCATCGGCTATGAGTTGCAGGTTGGCATGATTGGAAGGGCGGCAGCGGAGAGGACGGGGCAACCTGTATATGAGTGAGTTGTCCATTTTATTCTCTTGCCAAAGTAATCACTAACAGTGTCTGCAGAATCTACCTCCTGGGCCCCTACCGCCTTGCTTGCGTCGCTGGTGGCTGTCTCGTCGCCTTTATCTGGACCATCTTCCCCTCGCCCCTAACCGATCGGACCTGGCTCCGCCGCGACCTCTCAGCAACCCTCTACCTCGTTGCCAACTACTCGTCCATCATCAACTCCACCCTACAAACCAAGCTTACCGAACAGGCAGGCGACGTCAACATCAAGGGAACTCCCGCCCACCAGCTCTTCAAATTCCGATCCAAGATCTTTGGCAAGCTGATGATGCTTATCCCCTCCATGTCTCAGCACTCGGAGTGGCAGAAGTGGGAACCCACTATCGGCGGCAGGTTTCCCCGGGAAGTTTATGATGAGATTATTCTCAGGACCAACCGCATGGTGGCCTATCTGACGCTCATGAGCTATACGATTACGAACCCGATTCATGCCCCGACCAAGATGAAACCGTATGCTTCGCAAAACCAGATTGCCAGCCCGCGCGCGTCGTCGGTGGCTGTGTACCCCAAGTGGGACAATCAGGTTGCGGAACTGGTCATGACCTTGGAGCCGACACACCACACAATCCTGTCGACCTTGACTCTGCTCTCCAACTCGTTACTCTCCGGCCAGAGTCTCCCACCATTCATGCCCCTCCCGCGTCCCTACGACATTACCCGCCGCCTCATTCGCCTCGGAACAACCAGTCCACTCCGCAGCCACCCCGCAAGCCCTTATGCATCCGGCGCCGAATCCGACTCTGACTCCGACGCCGACGACGCCGACGATGACGTCTACAACGAGCCCGAGCCATTTAAATTGATGGACTCGCGCTCCGGCGAAGACGACTACGAGCACGTCAAGCGCGAAATCAGCTACTTTTCTTCTCACAGCCACGACGCCCGCCACCAATCTCTCTCCCAAGCCGCCAACCCTAACGCCACCACCCCCTCTCCTGCCCAATCCCCCGGTGCCTCTCCCTCGGGCTCTGCCCATCTGGCTTTTTCCTTCCCTCCAGGGATCCAGACCCATTCGCTCACGCACAGCCGTAACCCATCGTTTTCAAGACCAAGGGCGTTTTCGCCTTCGCACTCGCGCGCCCACTCGCGCGCTCCAACGTCGCGGGCGCACTCGAGGGCTCATAGTCGTGCGCGCTCAGTGCAGCAGACGAACCAAAACCTTCTTGAGGGTCTACTTCAGGATGAACCAGGTTACGCAGAGTTTGCTGTTCTTCAAGTGTGCACAGGCCTGGTGTGCGATGACCTGGAGGGCCTGGTCAAGGCGGTGATTAGTCTTGTGGGCGTAGTGGATTTCAGCTTTCGCGTGGATCGGAGTGAGGAGGAGGTGCATTTGGGAAGGAGGGCCAGTTTGGCGAGGAAGATGAGGGAGGTGAAGAGGATGGGGACGATTGGAAGGGGGAAAGGGAAGGGGAAGGGAAAGGAAAAGGCGAAGGCGCAGTGAGTGAGGGATTGACGAGGGGAGATAAGTACCTCTATGGAGAGAAGTGGGGATGAAAGAAGAAATGAAATATTAATACCCAGACTACCTAGAGGTAGTCAGTCACACATTATGACTTACGTTGGGACTGGATGGGAGTGGAGTGGACTGGAATGGAACGGGCGCAAAGAAAGGCGTTCGTTCCTGCTTTCTGCTGCGTTTTTCCAGCTCGGCATATTTTCTACGAAGGGATTGATTCATGGCTCATGTCCAGCATGTCTAGCAACGTCATTATGCCCCCCCCCCCCCCCCCCCCAATATCATATCTTACATGTCGTCACTTGGGATCGGATCTATGCTAATGTTTCTATGGATGATGGAATTTCAAGTTCATTTGTTACATATCTTACCTTACCTTACCTACCTACCTACTTAATTACATACTTTATATATAGTCCACGCAGATAAGAGAAAAGAAGAGATGAAGAGAAGAATCTAATGATATTTAATGTTCGTACATTGAGAAGAGTACCTAAGAAGTCAGAAGGTGTTTGGTTCCTTTTGTGTCATGGAGTAGACTAGAGGTGCCGGTTGTCAACTTGGTGTGTTACTTCTACCTCGAACCTCTACCTACTGGAACCAGTGAGCGCGGCCCGGCCCGGCCTGGGCCGTTCCGGTTCCGCCCGTTCGTTGATGATGTGACGTTGTGTGCATCGATGCACTCCGTGTCCGTCTACCTACCTCTAGCAACGATGCAAATATAATTCTATGGTACCATAGCATACCTGGAAAAATGCGTTTTGTACCTCTAGGTAACATCTATGTCTACCTACTTAGGTACCTATGTACTTACTACCGCCGTGCAACCAGACCCGTCCTAGGGACTAGCAGAGTGGCAAGGTCTTGTCTTGGAAGTAGTCTAGTGGAAAAAAAAGAGTGCGGTCGAACACCTGGGTGCTGTGCTGTGGTCCATGTACATCAATGAGAATGATTGGTCGTGACTCAGGTTCAGGTTCAAGGTTGGGAAAAGTACCCGAAGTCGGGACTCGGAACCGGGGGAGGGATGAAATTCAGGACATAGAGTCGGTGTGGCCCGGAGACACTTATCCGTTTCTTGCAATCTTTGCCTCTCATTATGGGGAAGTATGATCAATTCGACACACCGCAAGTAAACCGATTCTTGCACTGAGTGTAGCCAGTCTGCGGTAAGAAGTTGTTCGTTTATCCGATGGGATCACTATTGGTCCTATGGGGAGCGACAACAGTCAATGACGAACCCAAAAGCTTGGCCGGGTGTGGAACACAAGTGTGAAGAGGTTGAGAGACGACTGTATAAGTGCGTCATAAAGAGACACTGGTTCTCTTACGAGTCTGTTCCTCGTACCTAGGTATAAAAGGCCCAGTGTGGTGATCAGAACCATACTCTCTTAGTTCCTACCTCTACCTAACATATCACAAATCACGAACCCGACCACCTGAACCAATTTGCCAAGATGATGAGTGGATGTCCCGTCTTCAACTATCTCTCTGACGACCCGCAAGCCTACCTCCTCCTGCTCAAAGACTACGTCCGCCCCAGCCCCGACATCTGCACCCTCTGCAAAGCCCGCTGCCTTGAGTCCTTCATCAAAACAGCCTCAGCCCCCGGTCTAGCTTGGAATCGACTTTCTCCCGATGGCCGTGTCCGCCCCGCACACACACGTCTCGACGCCCAACTTTCCGCACTAGGAATCACCGCCTCCAACGCCTTCGGATTGGATCTTTCCGAAAAGGAGGTAGACCTAATCTTCCAGCCTGCTACGAGACGGCTAACGATTGACCGCGACTGGGACGACTTCGTCCACGCTGTCGTGGCCATGACTGCTTACCGCGGCCGCGCAAGACCAGACCGGTACGACGCTTTCAAGTCGCAACATGGCACCGACCACTATGCGCTGGGAAAGAAGATGGAGCTTATGTGCTGGAGCCAGTTTACGAGTTACGACCTTGTCAGACCGAAAGGCGGGACCATTGAGTTTTGGCTATTCAACCTCGGCCAGTTGTTATCTGGCGGAGCGGGGGTGTTCCTCCGCAGCTCCTCCGCGTCCCCCTGCACCTCTACTGCCGACGAGACAGAAACAAAGACAGAGAAGAAGGAGACAAAGAAAGACTGCTGTACCTGCCCAATCTTTACCCCTCTGTCCGGGCGGCACCCCGACACGTTTACCGGGTTCGAATGGATCAATTTCGTCCTCTCCGTCGCCCACAACCGCATCTCTCCAGACCTCCTCTCTGCTTGGTCGGCATCAAATCATCCCTTATTCACCGAGGACCTCTCCACTCTCTACAGCCACCACCCCTTATCCCCAGGCTACGACTGCACCAAGGACAAAAGCTGGTATCAGCCCTCCTACGGCTATAGCCGCATGAGACGGTTCATCGTCCCCGAAGACATCTATAACACTGACCCACGAGACGTGGAACTTTCCTTTTTGTTGGGGTTTGACGTGCTCTCCGATTTTCATCCCCTGCTTGACTCTCCTCCCCCCGTTGTCGAAAAGTCCAAGTTTTCCTCAGCAGACTTGTTTGAAGTGGAGAACCTCAGAGAAAGTTTCATAGCCATGTTTCAAAACCATTTCGTGTGTCCATGGTGGTTCGTTCCCCATCGTCAGACCCTCGCAACCTTATCGAGACAAAAACTGGCCCATCATATAAGGGGCAGTATGCTGACGACGTTTATGGCGTTGCACAAGAACCTAAAGCTGAATAGGCCGGTGGAAGGCAGGCACAATGAGGGCGGTGTGGACTGGGTTACTGCTTCGGCTTTCCATTTCGTTCCCTCTCCTTCTGGTGAACCATATCCAATGAAGAAAGTGTTTGAAGCGGCCGTTAGAGAGTTGCGGAAAAGAGTGAGGGAGGTGTGGCAGGTGCCGCTGGATGAAAACAAAGCAGAGGGAGTCAAGCCGTTTCGTGAGGGGTCGCCGAGGAGGGGGAGCAGACTGTCGTCATGGTTTTGGGGGGCTACTTTGATAAGTTGCCGGGGGACAGGAGTGAAGAAGAGGGCGAGGTTAGCGGTCCATATGGGGAGTGGGAGGATTGGGAGGATTGGTGTCTTTCTTGGGAGCCGGAGAAGTTTATGAGGAGGACGTTCGAGTTGGAGTAGAATGAATAGGTGCTATTACGTCACGGGTTTGAGGGAAGGGTAGTAAAGGCTACAAGGGAGGAATTGGGGACTCGCTGAAGGTAGTACCTACCTACTCTAGTGGGCATAGGCTGACTACAAAGGCAGAAAAAGTACATGGAACTCGGGGGGGATCAAAGGCACCTACTTGCGAGGCAGCAGTTGTCTTGAAAACTAGGCAGGAGTGACATAGAAGGCAGCAGATGATTGCCGTGGGAATGAACTCAGGTACCTATATCTCTAAATGAGAGCAAACAACCTGAACTATTGGCAAAGTCCTGAGTAAAGTCGTGAACGTGATGATGATAGCGATATAATGCTTATCTTTGCCGCTTGTTCGCCGGAATTATGTCCGCTCGTACTCGAAAGAAGGCAGGAAGTGGTGGATACATGCCACAAATCCAAAGGCTTTCTCGAAATAGGTATTTTCCAACTTCCTACATGTGTCAAAGCGCTACCTCTACGGCTCTACCTGACAGTCCTGACTATTGTTCATGAACCATAATTGACTTTCGCTGAGCATGAATCCAAACACCAAAACACCAAACGCCACGCTACCTAACCAGTTTCCCACAACCCATAAGTGTCTGGATAGGTTTTCACTCCCTACAGAAACGATGCACTCTCTAGCCTAGTCCCCACGGACTTCATCTGTCTCTCTAAAACTCATCCACATCACTCCATTCCATGGTCCCACTTGCGCTTCCGCTTCCCGTAACGCTAGCACCGCTTCCACTAGCGTCCGACGACATGGAATGCTCCCTATCTCGGCCCGTCGAAAGCAAATTCGTCTCCCACTTGGTCAACTGCCCCTCTCCATTGTTATTCCGACTGTTGTTCTGTGCTGATGTGGACGACTTTGATACCTGGTTGCTATCCGCGATGCACCCATTGCGTTCACAGAATGCAATGATTTGGGCCCATTCCGTTCCTTTTTCTCCTTTGGTTCCCCAAGTCGGAGGCCCCTTGTCTTTCTCCGCATCCTTACTATCAGTATCGTCTTCTTCTTCCTCATCGTCCTGCTCCTCATCCCCCTTCATCACCTCCCTACTCCCCAAAATGATCAATCCAAACTTGGCCCTCGTCAGCGCCACATTCAGTTGATTCCTAATCCCACCCCCCGCCTGACTCTCCTGCCTAACACCCCCCGGCAAAATCCCCCACCCCAACCCGCGATCCCTCTCCACAAACCTCTTTCGACTCCTCGTCACACACAAAATCACCACTCCATGCTCCAACCCTTGAAAGGCCTCGGTCGGCCCCACATTCACCTCCCACATCATACCGTACTGCTCACTCCTGATCAAGCTGCGTATCAGCCGCACCTGCGCTTTGAACGGGGACATGATGCAGATTTCTGATTGCTTCACCAGCCCAGATCGAAAAAGGGACAAGGCGTATTGACATGCCAAGTGGGCTTCACCGACGTTGAACCAGCCTCCGGTGGTGGCTGTTGAGGAAGGAGACTCGGGCGAGGGGGCTTCCAAGTCGTCGGGGGAGGGGTTGTCATGATACAAGATAGGCCAGCGACGACCGCGCCACCCGGGCCAGGATTTCAGTCGGTTGCGTTCGTGGCGATCGGCTTCGGCGACGAGAGTGTCGAAGTAGAAGAGTTTGGAAGGCATCGCCAAAATGGCGGGGTGGGAGCGGTAGTTCCTTATTAGATTTGTGAAGGGCGGGCGTAAGATGGGGAGTAAGTCCGGGTGGAGTTGGTATTGTTGTTGGGGCGGCTGAGCGTCTTTGGCGAGGCGCCGGGCTAAGGGGTGGTTGGCGTAAACGGGTCGCTTGAACAGGCGAGCGAAGAGGGATTCTTGGAGAGGGGTGGAGGGACAGGAGGTACGTGGGTTGAGTTGTTGTTCGTCGCCGGCCATGATTACGAGGGGGGTAAAGAGCGGTTCGGGACCTTTGAGAGGAGGGGAGACGACGTGGAGAGGGATGAGGGCTTCGGGCTCCATGGCTTGGGCGGCTTCGTCGATTAGGAGGGCGCCCCAGTGTAGACGGGATTTGGAAGTGGGTGGCAAGGTAGGGTGGATTTGTTGATGCAAGGTGGAGGTGACGGTGTACAGGTCCGAGTTGGTCAGACGCGCGTACATGAGCATGGAGGCGTCTCGGCAAGAGGTAACAATGATGCGGTAAGACATGAGTTGGGCGAGGGGAGGCAGGGCAAAGATGTCGTTTTGCATGTAGCAGTAGGGGAGGAGGTTGCTCAACACCTCTCGTGAGTCGCGGGTTGGCCGGTTAAGACGAAGAAGCTCGTTGCGGCTCATGGACTTGGAGAGCCGATCGGCCAAGGTGTCGGCTGCTGGTTCGGATGGGGCACATACGAGAATATGGGCACAATTGGGGACATTGCGGACAAGTTGGAGGGCAATTTCGATCATGGTCTTGGTCTTGCCTGTTCCGGGAGGACCCGAGATGAGATAGGGCATAGTGCCGTAGTTCTGGCACAGGACTGAGTCGACAGCTATACGCTGTTCGTAGTTCAAAGACTCGTCGAATCGTGTACTGTCGTAGTGCTCCAGCCAGTTGACAACGTGGGTCTGGAAATTGCAGTCTGCTTCCGTGGGGAACAGCATGGACTGGTTCCAGTAAACATTGGTGGTGGCCAACTCGTTCGCCTTGGGTCCCGCCGAGCCGTTATGGGTGACCTCGTCGATGAAGGAATCTAGCGCATCAAAGTCATTTTTAAGGACCTGTTCTGCCAGATCCAGCGACTGCGTGATGTGGGGGAGCACGTCCATCATGGGCGTATACCGGACCATGGGTACGAAGAACTGAATGTTGAACTTGACCACAAACTCTGTCGGCCAAGGCGGGATCATGGTTGGAGTAACGACTTCAGCCGTGTGATAGGTGATTCCGGCTACCCGCAAGACGAGAGTCTCGGTTGCTCTCACCACTGCGGAAACGCGGGCGTTGTAGATGTATCCAGTCCATGGGAAAAAGCTGGATTCAAAGTGACCGCCATAGTCGAAGCGTAACTGGCGCAGCTGCACCTCGTCGTCCACTTGGACGTTTGGGGTGTTCTCGCGAAGTCCTGGGACGGTGATGGTTACCGTCGGTTCGTTTGGGTCATTGAACTTGAGGATTCCCGTGTGGCCGTATAGCGAATAAGAAGCGTTCTCCTTTCGTTGGTAAGCAAGCTCGACCTCGATCAAGGACCGAAAGTATTTCTCGTAGCATTGTGGTGAGAGATGGGGTGCTTCGGAGGAGAGATTGTCGGCGAACTGGGGCCGAGGAAGGGCGGGCAAAAGACTAGTGGGCAAGATGCCCGAGATGTACTGGAGGTAATCGATATGTGTCTTTGGGAAGGTGTCGATAACCGTGCCGGCGTACTCGTTGATCTGCTTCAGGGCGGCTGGCACGAAGGTGGGTGCGTATACGTCGAAGCCCCGAGCGTACTGTTCATCGGCGTCAAAAGCTGGAGGGGTTTCGACGGGTGGTGGAGGAAACCAGAGGTCTTGTGCGAGTGTTGCTTGTGTCTTGGCTGACTTTTTGGTTTGGGGATTCGGGGCGCCATGCTTGAAGTGCGTTGTTGGCAGCGGGATCGTGTCTTGACCAGTTTCGGGGCTGACGATGGGCAGTGCCTTGGACTGTTTCGGCGGCAGGGTAAAGAAGGCCATGATGAGGTCCTGTTCGTATTCACCATGTCTTGACGACGCCGAGCATACATGAGGATTGGGCTTGTAAGAGAGTCGTCGTCGACCATGACTCAGCCGACGATGATGATGATTGATAACAAGAGGTTGGGCGAAGAGAGTTACAAACAAACACCCGCCCGACCCAATGAAACAGGGCTGCCTGCCGCCCGCCCACGCAGCCCATTGCAGCCTAACAATTTTGTGCTGCCACTCCCGTCAGTCATGATTGGCTGTTTCAGCGACGAAAGTCCGTGCCACAGCCGCTGCAATGGCAGAATACTGCACTGTACCTCTAGGCGCCAATGGGTACCTAATGGAGGGGTGTATTAACAAAAACACGCTGAATTATAATGATATCTCCATGGAGGTAACTCGAAGAAGGCTCAAACACGCCTTCATAACCGTTTACAAATCGTCTCCAAGAACGTCACCTCCTCCGGCCTCAAACTAAGACCCTCGGGAATCTCCACCCCTCGCCTTGAAATCACCACCCTCAGCCCTCTCTCACCATCATCATCATCCCCCGACTCGGACACTGCCCCGCAACTCTGCGCTTCAATATCCACATCTCGCAACGTCTCATCACTCCTCGTTCCTCTTCCCAGCCGCGACTCCGAACTTGACCCCGTCCTCGTCTCTTCACTTTCTTTACCAACACTTGCCCCCTTCTCCAAGCCAGCCACCCCTTCTTCTTTCCCCTCCCCCTTGCCCGTCCAAAACTCCCCCGTCGGTTCCGGACTCCACCAATAAACCGGAAACCTTCTCCGCAAATTATTCACCACCAGCGCACAGCACATCATGATGGCACACCCCAGCATCACAGGCGCAATCAAGAACCAGCCCAGCTCCTGCACCTGGTCGTCCAAAACTGCCATGAGGGCCGTCGCGCCCGCGGGCGGGTGCACCGTGCCTGTGAGCGCCATGACGGCCGTGGCACAGGCGCAGGCAAGCGAGGCCCCCACCCAGCGGATGGATTCAAAGTGCGGGGAGAGGGCAAAGAGTTTGGCGATGGAGATGCCGACTATGCTCGAGAGCAGTTGGCCGCCGATGGCGTTGCGGGGCTGGGAGAGGGGGGATTCGATGGCGTAAAAGTCGAGAACTGCTGCTGCGCCCTGTTTGGTTTTTGTAGGTTAGGTTAGTGAATGGTTGTAACAGCGAACAGTAGCCGGTAGGGGTGGGTGGAGGTGGATGCATGGGATGGGAAAATCCGGGGTTAGTCAGCATGCTTGGTGGTGTTGGCGTACATCAATAGTTGATGTAAATCCGGGGGCGGGATGTGACGCCACCACATCGTCCAGCTCAACTACCGTCCATCAAACCCACAACGCACACATCCTTCACAATCATCATCACCATCATCATCACCTGGGAAATAACAGGAAAAAAAAAAAAAAAAAAAAAGAAGGATACTTACAAAACTCCCCACAACAACCGGCACTCCCCTCCCCCGAAACCCCTCATAATGCTCCCCCACCGCCCCAATAATCGTAATCGTCACAAACACGCCCACAAACGCAAACAGAATGATTGCTAAGTTCCCCAGCGCCGGCTTCTTTGCCCGTTGTGATGCTGGGCTTCGATATCCCAAAAAATGAGAAATGGGCGTCGGAAAACGGGGTAGAAAGGAGGCCGGGATGAAAGGGTTGATGAAGTGGTCTATTTCGAAATGCCATGTTGTTGGACGGGTGCGGTACCATGGTTTGGGCATGGTTATTTGGGTGTGTGGTTAGGTTTTTGCGAGTAAAATTGGTCGGGGTGAGTATCGGATTTGAATTTGGGTCGTGTAAAAGTTAGGTCGGTAGGTAAGATATGGAACTTTCCGTCTTGGTAGAGGTAGGTAGGTAGGTATCCACTGGAAGAAAATGTAGAAAAACAGAAAGAAGAAAACACGAGAAAAATACATACAAACAAAAGCAGAAGAATAGGCAACAACAAGCTCAAGATCAATCGGGTGCCACGCCACGAGTGTTATATTCATTTCTCTTTCATTCAATTCCCCTTGTTGACCGCCGACCTAGAACCTTGGTTCCAGTTTCCAACACGTAATAGCTCGAAAACTGCACATGTGTTTTTGTTACGTTTAGCTTCGTTCCGTCCCTCTCTCGATGGATGGATCGATCCCGAATGACGGTCTACCCGGTCTGTCCGGTGAAAGGTAAAAACAAAAAAACACCGAACAACCGAGAAGCCAAGGTCGTGTGTGGTCAAAATAAGGTGGTGTCTCGGTGTGTTCCCATGATCTCATCCGATGGGTCCTGGTTGGGCGGGTCAGGTCCAGTTTGGATGAATAGGTGGATCCACCGGATGGACCTAACTTTACGGTAGCCTCAGCTAAGGTACCGAAAAGTGTCCGCCAAATCCACCTAGGCAATAAATGGCAGGTTCAGTGTGTCGGGTTTAGGGGTGGGCTGGCGGGGCGCACGAGCTAGAAGTGGAAGTCCGGCCGGAAGGATTCAGGTCCAGGAGGAGGTGAGCTAGGGGGCAGATCGAGCAGGCAGGTGACGGGAAATGAATGGAAGAAAAGGATCGTAGGGAGGCCAAATGCAGATCTTTTGACTCCAGTACACTAAACGATGGTAACGGAGTGATGGACTTCGGGATCTCGGGGATCGGAAATTGAGATGAAGTGTAGGTAAGAACGAATGGAAACTCGAAAAAAGTGGTGCCTTGCTGTCTTATAATTCCAAGCCGCTCCTACCTTGGACAAACTAAGAAGCTAAAGTGGAAAAGCAGCAAATCGTGCAAAGACATGGCGTCTTCATCAACCCCTTCTCGCTCGCATATAAAGCCAAAAAGTGAATCACATTAAACAGCAACCTCAAATGATGAGCCAAAGATGGCCCACAGTATCCGGCCCTTCCCCGTTTACTCGGCGCCGAGAAAAACAACAGGCAACCTATGAAACCGATACTGTGACTCAAACATCCAAAACCCATGGATTTTCACGCGCTAACCGCGAGACAGCGCTGCGGCATGAATTTGCCCGTCGTCGCTTCTTTCACCTGAGCAAACAGGTGAGTGTCGCTTCGATCCAGTCCCTCTCGCGGGCATCAGATTTGCTAACAGAAACTCCGAATCAGGCTTAGCGGCCGCCTTCGTTGTCCGAGTGGTCCGTGTTACCGGCCACCACCCGGTTCGGTCCTGCGCAGCTATCTCCGCGGAGCTTCTCATGTCCCGTCCGGCTGGCGCGCCGTTCAAGTCTGGTGGCTTTTCTCATTTATTCGAGAGTTTGTAGTGTAGAATATGTGGCGTGGGTTTCGGACCCGATCCTCTTAGTCCTGTCGTTCGTAAGCCCACAGGAACACGCTGTTAACACCCATCTTGATGAAGTTGGGTACTGATAAAGACCATGTATCTGGCATAGCCCCCCTAGCTCCCAAACAGCACTTCTGTAAATATGCCCTTTCTGGAGCCTTAGCGCGAGTGCGATACCTGGAGAACTCCTTAGTAATGGTACGTAGCGAAGGTTGGGATAGGGTAAGTTGTGAAGCGCTGAGGGAGAAGGGGAGAGCGCGCGCAGGCGAGCATGGGGTAATTGTCGATGTCAACGCCGAGACATGCTACGGGCAAGAGAAACGACATGGACTACTTGCTGAGGATAAAAATGGGGTTCGGGTAGCGGGAAGTGACGAGAGGGCCAGGGCTATGAAGGCGTCAAATCTGAGCTGTTGATGTTGTGGAATCACATGTGGCGGATGCTGCATGGGAAGTGGTCGTAAAACAAATCGAATATGGATAGTCCACGGCAGTTCTACCAGCCGTCTCGGCCAAGAACGACCCTACCAAGTCATTTTTCCAGGTCTAGCCTCGTTTGGCCGGTCTTGGATCTGGATGATGAACTTGGTGAGAGCGGAGTAGGGTCGAGCTGCGTTGGGTGGCAGCGGAGAAGAAAGAGGGAAGTTGAGGACAAAGTTGTGAGAGGGAAGAAAACAGAGTGCCCGCCGAGGAGCAACTACAGACATTGGTTGTATCCTTGTTAGTGTTCTGGGGTAACTCCGTAAGAAACGTTAACATTAGTCGCTGTAGGGGGTGGAACTTGAGAAGCTATCAGTTTACTGTGGCATTTACTAGCAAAAGTGCTAACAACGGGTTCCGACAAGATCGGATTGCGAGCCAACAAGTTAATGTCCGTAACAGAGGAGCTGATGTTTCACTACCTACAGGCTTCTGGTCACTTAACTCTTATAATAGTTGAGTACACAAACCTCCATTTCCGTATTCTCAGATATAAAGATGGTTTCAGGCACGAGAGCATTGCTGGCATTTCAAGATGCCTAGCTCGTCCTGGACAAAATAATTGAGACCTGTAATATTCTACCTTGGGGATACTCCTACTACACATCCAAGCGTCTTTGTACCACCTCTGGTCTTGAGTTCTAGGCAATTCCTAGATAAAAATATCTAAATGGGACTTAAGCCAATATCTTTTCGAATTAGTATAATCCCTATCACAGTTCTGCAACGGCCTTTCCTTTGATCTTGACGAGCGGTAGTAGACTGATTTACCTACCTAACCTGCTGGTTGGTCTCATTTATTTTGTCTTGGATGAGCCTAGCAGGACTGTAACACAGGACTACCCCGCTAAAAAGCAGTGGTGCTCAACTACCCCACACTCAGCCCACAGCACTTCCCTGCCCAAGCCAAACAGCTTTTTCCACTTCGTCATCTTTCCAAATCGACTGACCTTGACCAATACCACCAGCACCACCACGACGACTGCGAATCGCAACATTGCGAGAAACTACAATACCAAAACGACGAGCACATATTGGCACACTCGAGTCAACTACGCGAGGATACACACCCTTTATTAGCGGTCTCCGATCCAACGCGCAATCTACCTCGTCGTCGACCTACCTCTCGACCTACCCATACCTTACTCAACACTATACACATCGCCGATTAACTACTTTTCACCGTCCAAGATGCGCTTCACTAACCCCAAACACTCCCTCTCGACGCTCGACCCCTCAGGCGAATCGCCCGTCTCTCTCCTCCCCACGACGCCCGAAGACATGTGGCACGCGCACAACCTGATCGCGCCCTCGGACCTCTTGCGCGCGCACGCCATCCGCAAAGTCGTCACCACAGGCTCGACCGGCTCTACGACGTCGGACCGCGTACACACCGACCTCACGATCCGCGTACAATCCGTCTTCTTCGACCCGGCCGCCTCGTCTCTCCACGTCTCGGGCACCGTCTGCCAAGAGAACCAATACGTCAGCTTAGGCCAGCACCACACTTTGGATCTGGAACTCAACCGGCCCTTTCAGCTATGGAAGCGTAGCGGGTGGGACTCGGTTTCCCTAAAAATGCTGGAGGAGGCGGTGGCGGAAGACACGGGCGAGGCCATGTGCGCGGTGGTGATGCAGGAAGGGCTGGCCAACATCTGTCTGATCACCGAGTTCCAGACGGTCGTCAAGCAGCGGGTGGAAGCCAACATCCCCAAGAAGCGGGCGGGCGGGTCGGCGAGCCAGGGCGGCATGACGAGCTTTTACGAAAAGACGCTGGCGACGCTGCTTCGCACCGTGGACTTTTCCCAGCCGCGGCCGTTGTTGTTGGCGAGTCCCGGGTTTGTGGCGCAGGATTTTAGGGGGTACATGCAGAGCGAAGGACAGAAGAGGACAGACAAAAAATTGCAGAGGATGGCGAAGGATGCGGTGGTTGTGCACAGCAGTACGGGGTATGTGCATAGCTTGAATGAGGTGCTGAAGAGCCCGGAGGTGCAGGCGACCATGAGAGACAAGCGATTTACGGGCGAGACGGCATTGATGGATCAGTTGTACGATCGGTTGAGGAAGGATGATGGGAGGGCGTGGTATGGTGCGAAACCGGTGGAGAGGGCGGTGAAGGAGGGTGCGGTGGGGAGGGGAGGGGGCGTGTTGTTGATCAATAACAAGTTTTTCAGGAGTCTGGATATCAAGACGAGGAAGAGGTTTGTGGCGTTGGTGGACAAGGTCAAGGAGGATGGAGGCGAGGCGAGGGTGTTGAGCAGTGATCACGAGAGTGGGCAGCGGCTGGATGCGCTGGGTGGAATTGCTGCGATTCTTACGTATCCGATTTATGACTTGGATGAGGACGAGGTGGAGGAGGGTGGTGAAGGGGAAGAGTCAGGGGCGGCGGCGGAGGAAGGAGCCATGATTATATGATGGATGTTTTCCTTGTTTACAGCGGAAAATTACAGCCCGGTCTTTTCAGAATTTACTCCAGACTTATTTTCCGATTGTTTTGCTGTATACCTTTGACATGGTGATGCACAGCTTTGGTGTTTTGCTGCCACTCTCCGCTTCTCGGCCTGGACCTCCGATTTTTACGAAAACGACCGACGTCATTTCCAAACAGGAATTGGCATGTGCTCTGGAAACAAGGTGGGGCAAATGAGCGATCCGATTGCCGCGGTTTGATTGGAGCGCATTGCTCAAAACAATATACATAGAGGTAGCTTCATGGGCAGATGTATCAGCGATTGAGGGGGTGTGTAATCTCGCGGTTAATGTTTATGTCGATTAAGCTCTATTATATATGTTTCATGATGGTGGATGGTCTTGATCGGTGTGTGGATGTGAAGACTTGTTAGTAACAAAGTACGCCAATTTCAGACATGAACCGACTTTGGTCACACCTTTGTTGTCCATTTCCAAAAGGAAGGAAGCATCTCGGAAAAGGCACAAAGTCCATCCTCCATCTACCCGGCACATCCGACTTTTGTGCTTCTTGGTACCTTTTGTGCCTCGCTGCCGTTGTACAACTTTCGCATCTTTCCACTTCCCTTTCTACTTCCCATCCCCCTCCCTTTTCCCTTAGTTCAGGCACAGTGGCATTGACTCACTACAGTACATTATTTTCTGTTTGTGTCTGTGTTCACTGGTAATTACTGTCGCACAGTTTAATCGTATGTGTTTATTTTACACCTTGGACATTCTTCTCCATGTCGAATAATTAATTCATCGAGAATCGCAAATCGGATCTCCAATCCAACCAGTGGAGCCAAGTCGGGGCTACGGCATCTCGACAAATCCGACTGTCCGATATTCAGGTCTTGGCACGACATCATCTTGATCTTGGTTGACGGGAACCCTGACGGACACAGCTGCCCGCCCCTGCTCGCCCTGGTCCCGCTCTCGAATACAAATCCCCACAGCGCCCTGAATCCAACCCCCCCGGAGGCTCCATCTTACAGTGGACTCTTTCAGGGCACTTTCAGCAGGACTCCAGTCTGTGCCTGCCTCGCCGCCGACCGACCGACCGACCGACCGACCGACCGACTCCTGAACATTGAATTGGATTCTTTGTCCGTCAGGGGCTTGCGACAAGGACGGGATCGAAGCGAGAGAAGGGCATTTGGAAGACGAGAATAATCACGACACAACCGGGAGGAACAGAACAGGGAGCACGCCAATAACGTCACAAACTACCTAAACAAGCGAAAACGTGGCATCCGCCCGCACCGCCGCCAACGCCGGGTTGTAGCGCTAGAAGCAAAGTAAAGAATGTCGACCACGACGGCCAAGAAGAAGAGCACGAAACGAGCATCATGGACGCCCGGCGACGACACAAGAGCGATATCAACGACCACAAACAAATACCTCTCCCCCGAATATGCGACTGCCCCTGCACATCACCACCACCACCCCGTCGTCGTGTATCCGAACAATCACCATTTGAAGAATCATCTACATGGACACCACGGTGGGCATGATGGACGTACTCGCCATGTCAGCCACGCCGCGGTTCCTGTGTCAGGGCATTACTATAACGAGAACAAAAGTGGAAGTGGAAGTGGAAGTGGTAATGGAAATGGAGAACATGGAGGTATGTACCATAAGCTGATTGACATGGTCAAAAACATGGCGATCGACCAATCCCATCACCACCACCCTTCTAGTCAATGTAGCATCATGCATGCATAAGTGGCCTGGGTGGTGTTGTGGGTATTGATTGCCAAGCCTCCGCAGTGGCTCTCTTGAGTTCCATGGATCGATTTTATCTTGCATTCGTTGTTGTCCCTTTTTCTCTTCCGTCCCCTTCACATTTCCTCTTTCCCGCTGTCTCCTTCCATGTTCCTTTCCTGGATGCCCGCTCGATGAGTTGAAGCTCCAGCTTGTACGCGTACAAGACGCAGCCCAGACAAGAACAAAGCGGGATCACGGACCAACGAAGGACCAAGGAAGTGGAAAGTGTTGTATGCAAGTGAGCTGAGCTGTAGCCTGGCGTTACCTTACCTTACCTTTCCTTTCCTTTCTCCAACAATTGGTTGCAATCATTCGGTTGGCCATCGATCCTTGACGTAGTGTTTTCCCTTTTTGCCTTGGTCCGTCTTTTGTCCATCCCCTTTCCTCACTTGTACCTTGTATCATGTCAATTGATACTTACCTTGCGCGTATCCCTCCTTTTTGTGTCTTTCCCCTTTCGTCGTCTTTCCCTCCACTCTGCGTTACGCGTATCCCGCACCTAGAGTAGCACCTCACCTCCAAAAAAAGCATACCTACCTCTTAGGTATGGCCATGCGCCAGAGTATTGACGAAGCCAACAACGGCGCAATCGCACTAGGTACCCACAGCCTAATCCGACCAGCCACCACCACTCCCGTCCCCATCCCCGGCGCCATCCGACGATCTCTCTCCATCTCCGCACGAGGTTCCTCCTACAACACCCAGGCCACCGCGACGCCTGGTTCGTTCGCGACCGTTACCGAACAGCAATCCAACAAAGACCAATACGCGGAAGACAACACCAGCAAGCAGCTCGGATTCGGATCCCACAATGACAATGCTGGCTCCACGGGCAATGGCGCCGCTGTCAGCACAACCCGCCCGTCCATGGCCCAATCGTTAGGACCCAACTCGGCCATCGATCCCCTTTCCCAGGTCAGTCAGTCATTGATAACTGCCAAATACGCGTATGGAAACTGACCATTCTCTCTTTCTGTTTTCCAGCAAATCTTTATGCGACGACACACTGGCGACCAATTATCCTCCTCAAAACCACCCAAACATTTGCGCACTCAGTCGAGACCCGAGTCCCCGGGCCTGATGTCGACTGGAGAGGGGTCTGGGATAGCAGGCCGGCAGAATGCAGACTTGTCATCCTCTTCGAAGCCTAATACACCGGGTGGTGGTGATGTTCCCAAGGATAAAAGGTGGGTACTTTATCCCCCCATCCTGTCCCATCCAATCCATACTAACACTCTTTCCATCTCATCATCAGCAAAAGTAAAAACTTCTTCCTCCGCTCCCTTACCCTCCGCGGCCGCAGCTCCTCCAAGTACAACGACTTCGATTCCGACTCCGAGTTCGGCGGCGACCCCCGCATGAATGGCTTCAACGCCCGCGTCTTCAGTCAAGCCGTCGGCTACACGCCCCATCATAAAGAACCGCCCAGGTACATCAGAACAAAAGCTGCCAACAAAAAGGAACGAGACTTTGGCCGCGTGTTTCTGGCCCAAGAGTTGGTGGGCACTCGACCGCCGGGGTACAACAACGCTCATAATTCACAACAAGAGGCGGATAAACAGGAGGGAGGAGGAGGCAACAAAGGGGATGCGCCAGGCCAAGGGGGCGCCAGTGTAACTGTCTCCGTCGCCAGTGCCAGCGGTCGCAAAGTCGCCAAAACCGGCGGCGCAATCTGGGCCACCGAGTTCAGCCGCGACGGCAAGTACTTTGCCGCCGCCGGCAAGGACAACATCGTCAGGGTATGGGCGGTCATCTCCACCCCCGAAGAACGGCGAGCCCACGAGGAGGAGGAAGCCGCTGCTGCGAATGGAGGGAACGGCACAACCGGAGAAAGGCTTAGCGCGCCCGTCTTCCGCGACCGACCGTTCCGTGAGTTTGTGGGGCACAGCGGCGAGGTGTTGGATCTTTCTTGGTCCAAAAACAACTTTTTGCTGAGCTCGTCCATGGACAAGACTGTGAGGCTGTGGCACATGTCCAGGCAAGAGTGTTTGTGCACATTCAAACACAAGGATTTTGTGACGCGGTTGGCGTTTCATCCTACCGATGACCGGTTCTTCCTGGCAGGGAGTTTGGATACCATATTGCGCCTGTGGTCGATCCCGGATAAGCAGATTGCTTTCTCGGCGCAGTGTCCTGACCTCATAACGGCTGTGGCGTTTTCCCCAGATGGCAAAACGGCGATTGCGGGCTTGTTGAATGGGTTGTGTTTGTTTTTCGAGACGGAGGGGCTGAAGCCGCTGGCGCAGGTGCACGTGCGAAGCTCGAGGGGGAAGAATGCGAAGGGCAGCAAGATTACGGGGATTCAGACCATCAGTGTGCCGCCGATGGATCCGTTGAAGGAGCTGTCTGGGACGGGGGATAAAGCGCAGGGAGAGGTCAAAGTGCTGATTACCTCCAATGATTCGAGAGTGAGGATATATAATCTAAGGGACAAGTCGTTAGAGATCAAGCTCAAGGGACACGACAACTCGGTTTCGCAGATTGCCGCCAGTTTCTCGGACGACGGGAAGTACGTCATTTGCGGCTCGGAAGACAAGAAGGCTTTCATCTGGGGACTGAACGGAGGACAGCAAAGAGCGGCATACATCGAGAAGGAAAAGTCACCCTACGAGTTCTTTGAGGCTCATGGGGAGATGGTCACCACTGCTGTTTTCGCGCCTACAAAGACAAGGATGTTGCTGGGACGGAGCGAGGATCCTATCTACGATCTCTGTAACCCGCCACCGATTGTGTTGAGGAGCGCAGGGGAGGAGGCGGCGACGGCGAGTACGCATAGTGCTGCTGCAAGTGTGACTGAGCTGTCTTCTGAGGACCATCATCAGCCAGCACCACCAATCGTGCCAACGTCGGCACCGATTCAGAGACCGGAACCGAGCCCGGCGTATATCGCAAGGTCGACGCATTATGATGGGAATATCATTGTCACGACGGATGATACTGGTATTATTAAGGTGTTTCGACAGGACTGCGCTTACATCAAGCGCAAGCATGACAGCTGGGAGACCGGGTCGACTTTCTCTCGCAAGCTGGCCTCCCACGGTGGTAGCCTGTACAACGGAAGACTGGGACGGAGCATTAGCGTGTACTCTCGGACTTCGGCGGGCACAGGTGGTAGCGCCGCTCACTCAAGAAGGGGTTCGATGTCCGGGAACAATGCGCCATACATGGTTGCTTCGCCCGTATCTCACGCCTCGGCCCTCAACCAGGCCGTCAACACAGGCAGCGATAGGATTCTCAGATGGAGGATGGGCATCGAAAACGGCGCCGACG